CCCGCCCCGCCCCGCCCCGCCTCCGGCCCCAGCCACCTGCTGAGCACGCTCCGCCGCGTACGCCCACCCCCGACGCCCCCACCGCGGGCCGGCGGCGGACTTTGGGAAAGACCGGCCGGTGCCCCCTCGAGGGGTACTGGCTGGACTGGAAGCTCTGGGTTGCCCTTCCCTGACCCCGGCGCCCCTTTCTGTGCTAACTCACACCGGCCCGGCCAACCACCCACAGCCTGAGCAGCGGAGCCCGCATCCAGCGGACCTGGATTTCCCAGAGGGCTCTCCTAGGTCCTAGAGTCCTGCCGCTGTGAGGTCATCAGACCCCGATTATGAGTCTCTGAGAGGGGCCTAGCACGCAGTGTAAATTGAGATAAGGAAAGCCAATTTGGTGGTGACCAGGGAGTCGCTTTCTTACAGGCCCCTTTTCTAGACTGGTCCCGCCGGCATAGCTGTTAGCAATGGAAGACTGAAGGAGAGTGGCAGTAGATGGCCTCTCCTGGAAGGACCAGTGGCAGCAGCCCCCCTAGGGTGGGACTGTTGGCCTCAGCAGGTGCTTCCTCAGCCTTGAGCCTTGGATGCAGAGTCTGACATTCACCACCTCCTCTTTCACCAGCCTGCATCCTGAACCTTTAAGCTGGCCCCAACCTCTGCCTGGACACCTGTCCACGGTCGCACCTGTATGAAACTGTGGAGCAGAAATGCTGAAATGTAAGCAGCCTGTTTGGGACTAGGGTGGGGGCTTTGGGGAGTATCGTGGCCCGGGGTAGAGCTTGGGGTCTCTCGGGGGTTTGCCCAAAATGCAGCTCTGATACTCTTATATGGTGATGAGCAGCGAGTAATGTATAGAATTGTTGAATCATATCGTATGCCTGAAACTCACATAACACTATGTTATTTACACTTCAGTTTTTAAAAATGCAGCTCTGAAAACTTCTAGAAATAAACATGGGGGTAAATCTTTGTGACCTTGGCTTAGGCAGTGGCTTTTTTTTTTTTTTTAAAGATTTTATTTATTTATTTGTTTATTTGAGAGAGAGAGAGAGAGCGCGCGCAGTGGGGAGGGTCAGAGGGAGATGGACAAGCAGACTCCATGCTGAGCACGGAGCCCAGTTCGGGGCTTGATCCCAGGACTCTGAGATCATGACCTGAGCTGAAATCAAGAGTCAGATGCTTAACCGACTTAGCCACCCAGGCGCCCCCTGGGGCTCTGGGCTTCTTGAGGTGGGATCAGAGGCCACATGGCCCTAGACAGACTCCCCAAGGGCTGTCACGGTTTGCCTGGCAGGCCCTCCCAGGGCCAAGCTGCAGGAGCAGCCCTTGAAGGCCGGCAGTGCCAAGCACGTGGGCCCACATCCCCTCCATCACTGGGCCCCAGTCTCCGGAAGAACCAAATCCAGGTGTTGCATGTGCTCGGCTTGGCTTACAGGTTTGTTTTTCTGAGTTTATTATCAACATTTACAAACTAAAAATATTCATATCAGCAATTCACTTAGAGAGTAATAGAATGTAATGTCACGGGGCCCACAGTCCTGTTAGGCAAATGCAAGGGAGCATGTGCTCAGCGGGCTCCCGAAGCCTGACCACACCCTCTTCTTCACTTCCTTTTATTCGATGGAACAGTTCTCATGAATGCCAGTGCTCCCAATAAAAGTTCCAAGGAAGAATTTGTAGGTCCGTAAATTTCACTGAATACACCAAATTATCTAAGAGATTCTGGCGATCCTGTTGTGCTTTTATAAAGATAGTTCGGTATTTATGTGTTTTAAAAAACATTACTATTATTATTTCCCAAATTTTTTATTTTGAAAAACTTCAAACCTACAGAGAAATGAAAAGACTAATAAAATTAGCGCCCATTTACCCTTTACATAGAGTCGCCAATTAATATTTGTTTTCTGTCTTTCCTTCTCTGTAGACACAGGAATAGATGCACGTACATAGAAATGTATGTGCGGATATGCATCTCTCATCTGTAACTGTAGAGAGACAGAGAAAGTTGTGTTCCGTTTCATTTTGTTTACGGAACTATTCAAAGTAAGCTGTAGACATCACATAGACCCTACAGCTTCTGCCGGCCCCTGCTGAGAGCAAGGCTATTCTACACAACTTCATCATTACCAACTTTAAGAAACCTCACATTGTAGTATTACCTAATAATTGGTCCATATTCAGATCTCTGCTTGTTCACATGTCCCCACAATGTCCTTGATAGCTTTTTTTTTGCCCCAATCCAAGAACCAAGCAAGGATCTGGCATTGCATTTTGTCATGTGTCTGAAGCCTCCTTTAATCTAGTACAATTCTCCCATTTTGTCTTTTGTGACTTTGACGTTTGAAGTGCCCCCCCCCCGTCAGTTGTCTAGCAGGTAACTCCTGCTTTTCTTGGATTTGCCTCGTCGGGATCTGGGTTTGTAGCCCTTGAATTTGCCCCCTGCTGGGCCTAGATTTGAAATGTTAGTTTGCAGCGCCACCTAGTGGTCTCAGGTGAGCAGGACCCCCCCTCCCGTTGCTGCTGACGGACCCCATACATGTCTGTACACACAGACGCTCGCATCCCAGACGCTCAGGAGAGCTCTGAGGCATTGAAAGAAGAAAGCTGGAGGGGCGCCTGGGTGGCTCAGTCGGTTAAGCATCTACCTTTGACTCAGGTCATGATCTTGGGGTCCTGGGATCAAGCCCCGCATTGGGCTCCCTGCTCAGAGGGGAGTCTGCTTCTCCCTCTCCCTCTGACCCTCCCCCTGCTCATGCTCATTCTCTCTCTCTCTCTCAAATAAATAGGACCTTAAAAAAAAGAAAGAAAGAAGGAAACTGGAGCTGATGGAGGCACCCTATCCAGGAGGCAGGGCCTGGGGCCTGGTGGGATCCCAGGCTTCAGAGCCACAGTGTGGGGGGCAGGTCCTCTCTCCCTGGGTGGGGCCTGCCCGTATGGGACTCTCTGTATCTGCTAGAAATCCCCATCTCTGGGCCTCAGTTCAAATCTCAGCTCAGCTCTAGCACAACTATCTGTGTGAGCTTGGGCAAGTTTCTCGGCTCCTCATCTGTAAATTGGGGACGGTAACAGCTCCCCCTCACAGTGCTGTGAGGGTCAAATGAGCTAAGATTTGTAAAGTGCTTGATGCACAGGAGGTGTTATAGGAACATGAGCCATTTCGTGTCCACGTGGGATTGTCTGTGTGTGATGGTCTCTGCCGTATGCACGAGGTCGGGGTGGAGTGCTTGGTGTGATTCATTCTCCAGCCCTGGTCTGACCCTGACCCCATCCCACTCCCAGGACTACATCCCCGCAGAGGGTGAGCTGCTGTTCCAACCTGGGGAGACCTGGAAGGAGCTGCAGGTGAAGCTCCTGGAGCTGCAGGAGATAGACTCCCTCCTGCAGGGCCGCCAGACCCGCCGCTTCCACATTCAACTCACCAACCCCAAGTTCGGGGCTCGCCTGGGCCAGCCCCACTCAGCCACCGTCATCATTGGGGACCCAGGTGCGCAGAGCGGGGAGTGTGCTTAAGCAGGTGCAGAGGGAGGGCTGGGGGCCTCTCCACGGAGGCTGCCAGTCTTGGCAAGTAAAAATACAGGATGCCCAGTGAGATTTGGATTTCAGATAATCAAGGAACAAGTTTTGTGTAGGTATGCCCCATGCAACAGTTGGGATATACTTATCTTATTTGTTATTTATCTTAAACTCCAGCTTAACTAGGGGTCCTGCATTTTATGCAGCAATCCTGCTCTCAACCAGAGAGGGTGGAGTGGCAGGCCATGAACCCCACCGCTAGGCCTTAGCCCTTCAACTTCAGTCTCAGTTCCAACTAAAATGCAGGTGTTTCCCGGAGAGTCAAACAGTTCTTATGGGTCCTTAGGCTCCAGGATGGCCGTGTCTGTGAGCCCACCCCAGAGGTTTTCCCAGAAGATAGGAGAAGAGGGAAGATTCTCAGGGGAGAGGGGAGAGAAGGGGGTGTGTAGGAACAAATGTTCTCACATGGAGTATTCCCTTGGCTGCCAAGGGAGAAAGAAGGGCAGACGAACTCCCTCCTCCTCCTCATTCCTCCAGAGACCCTCCTGGGTCCTCCACCAGGAGGGCAGGCTGCCCTCTGTGGTACCAGTCGGGGCACCAAACCCCCAGGGGCCTGGGGTGGCAGCTGTCAGCTGAGTGCTGGTGGGGAAGGGTTGGGGGGAGCCCCCTGGTGGTGAGGGTGGATTCTTGCCTCCGTCAAAGAGGGGGTGGCTGAGTGGGCTGCTCCACTCGGGCTTGGCTCACTACAGACGAACTGGACCAGAACTTCACAAGCCAGACACTGTCATCGTTCCCTCACCATGGTGACCTGGGTGCCCCCCAGAACCCCAATGCCAAGGCTGCCGGGTCCCGGAAGATCCTTTTCAACTGGCTGCCCCCTCCTGGCAAGCCAACAGGGTACAGGGTAAGGTGGGAGGCAATGAGGGAGGTGGATGGGGAGGCCTGGTACCCACTGGGGATGTGGGCCACCTGAGGCCAGAGGGCCCCTGAGGGGGCGGAGAGGGCATGCTTCGGGGGCACAAGGGGGCAGGGGGAACCCCCATCTGCTTGGGGAAGAGGGAAGACCCATCCCTGAAGTTTTCAGACATTTGCCCTCCTTCCTGGAATGTGGCTCCTCCACCCACCCAGGAGACACCCCAGTTCTGTCCCAGCCCTGCTGTGTGAACCTGGCAGATCACCAACCCCTTGGCATCTCATCTGTGCAAAGGGGACAATAAGAGCAGGAGATTCGTGGAGGGACGAGCAGCTCTGGCCCTTGCCGCTCCCCACTGACTCTTTCCTCCCCTGGGGGCAGGTCAAGTACTGGATCCAGGGTGACTCTGAGTCCGAAGCCCACCTGCTTGACAGCAAGGTGCCCTCGGCGGAGCTCACCAACCTGTACCCATATTGCGAGTACGAGATGAAGGTGTGCGCCTATGGGGCACAGGGCGAGGGCCCCTACAGCTCCTTGGTGTCCTGCTGCACCCAACAGGAAGGTGAGGCCTCACCACCTGTCTATCCCCAAGCGACCCTGATGCGCAGCCCTGCCCCCCACCACCTCCCAGAACCCTGCCCCCCCTCTGTTGCGGCTGACAGCTTTCTCCCTGTACTGCCCCCTGCCCCTCCCTCAGTACCCAGTGAGCCAGGGCGTCTGGCCTTCAATGTCGTCTCCTCCACGGTGACCCAGCTGAGCTGGGCTGAGCCGGCTGAGACCAACGGCGAGATCACGGCCTACGAGGTCTGCTACGGCTTGGTCAACGAGGACAACCGTAAGGACCTGGACCCCTCCTGCCCCCGGGGATGGCAGGAAGGGGAGGGGGCAAAGAGCAGGAGGGAGGTCACGTCATCCCGGTCGCTGGTCGAGCCCCATATGTCTGGTGGCCTGAGGCATTGTCAGGTTTGTGGTCAGGTTTGGGCTGGTCGCATCCCAAGACCAAGCGCAGAAGCTCACAGGGCAGGTGGGGACGGGAGGCGTGAGATAGATGTGCACTGGGTTCACAAGCTCAAGGTGCCTTCCCGTCCAGGGAACCAGGGTGGCTCATTTTCACAGGGTTCTCGTGGGGCCAAAGGAGAGTTGCCAGATTTAGCAAATAGAGGATGCCCTGAGTTTCAGATAAACAGGTTTTTTTTTTTAGTACAGCTCATGTAGCATTTTATTTGGCAGCACTGTTCTTTCTTCCCAGTCCTGGCAGGGAGGGAAGGGTGGGCAACCCCACCAATTGCCAAGATGAGAAAAGTGAGGGAACTCGGTCCCACATCCAGCGCGTGCAGGGACCTCCTCCTTGTGCCCTCACTTCTCCTTGGTCAGTCCCAGGGACGGGGACCTCACCACTTCACACGACCTCTGGACCTTAACATGGGTCAGGCTCAGACTCCCGGAGTGGCCCAACAGGGCAGAGGACAGACAGATTATTCTAGACATCAGGCTTGTTGCTCTTTACCAGCCAAGCAGACCACACATGACCTCAACAGCTGCATCACACCTTTGGTGCATTCTGGGTTTATAACACCTAGTCCCCCCATGATCACTGTCACAGAGGAAGTCTCCTCTGACCCCTCCATGTATCCTGTGGAAAGTTCATTCCCAATGATTTCAGCCATGGCTCCAGCCTGCTGAGGTCTCAGCTGTGTCCTGGAATGTGCCAGATGGCCCCCTGGTCGAGGGTATCAGTACTTTGGTGGGTGCCCCTTTCCCCCTCTCCCACTAGCTGACAGGGATGTGAGGGGTGGGCCAAGAGGCAGTGCCCACCTTGGCAGCTAGAGACCTCCCCCAGGCTGAGGGGCCTCCACCAGCCAATTCTTTTTAAGCACAGTTGTTTGCTGGGGGCAGACACCAAGCTTACCAGGTATCATTTTCCAGAAGCCTCCTTTGGACCTCTTTGGAGACTGGGACCTTCTCTGGCCTCCAGTCTTTTGTGCCTTCTCTGGTTTCCCAGAAGGCTTCCAACGTGGCAGGCCCCTTCTTGCTGTCCCTGGGCCTAAGCCCTGTAACTTGCCCGGAGCTACGGGGGTCACTTTCTCCTTCCTCCCAGGGCTGCGTGTCCGTGAGTGCAGGAGAGCTACTTGGCCTCCGCTCCTGGCTAACCTGACACTGTTGGTCGTCTTGCACACCCTTCACCCCGACACCCTGAGCTCTCACAAGCCTCAGGCTGCCCTGAGGTGCAGCTTCCCTGAGCCCACCCTCTGCTCCCGTCCTTGCTCATGTGACCCCGCGGCAGCTGTGGTGGGCGTTGGGCTATCTCTGCTCTCAGCGCTCGGGTGGCGGCGCCCTGGACACGGGACCATTACCAATCAGTAGAGGTGACAGTGGGGCCACCGTGAGTCTAGTCCTGGCTCGGCCGCTTAAGGATGAGCCCTTCAGAGCGTTGGTGACACTTCTTGAGACCAGTCCTGGCCAGGTTCTCAGGGCCTGGCCCGACCCAGAAGCCCCATAGCTGCTTGCTCCCTGCCTTGTTCCCTGTGCTCTCCCTGGGAAGTGAAAAGCCCAAGAAGCAGGGCCACTACATCAGACCCGGGGCTGGGCCAGGCAGGAACCTACAATGACCCGTCTGAGGCGCTCTCCCTGCCCAGGACCCATCGGGCCCATGAAGAAGGTATTGGTGGACGCTCCCAAGAGGCGGATGCTGCTCATTGAGAACCTTCGGGAGTCCCAGCCATACCGCTACACGGTGAAGGCGCGCAATGGGGCAGGCTGGGGCCCGGAGCGGGAGGCCATCATCAACCTGGCCACCCAACCCACGCGGCCCATGTCCAGTGAGTGGGGGGGAGCACGGGGGGAGCGGGGGGGTAGGGTAGGACAGGAAGCTGAGGCCAGGGCCCTGGCTTACCCCTCCCACTCCTGCAGTCCCTATCATCCCGGACATCCCCATTGTGGACGCCCGGTGTGGGGAAGACTACGAGAGCTTCCTCATGTACAGTGATGACGTTCTACGCTCCCCTCCTGGCAGCCAGAGGCCTAGCGTCTCCGATGACACTGGTGAGTGGGTCTGGGATCCATGTCCCCGGGAGGAGGTGGGGCTGTCACAGGTGTCCAGAGAAAGCAATGGCGCCAGTGACCACTAGGCATAGAGATCAAGACTAGCAGTCCCTCTCGGCTCCACATGGATATCTGCAGAGCCTACCATCTGACAAGCACCATACTGGCGTGGGGTACAGAGGGGACAAAGCCAACGCGGCCCATGGGCAGTCATGTGCACAGGCAAACAGACTTGATTGGGAGCAGATGCACACAGGGCTGTGCAGGGCCACGCACACGGGACCATGTGGAAACACAGCCTTACACGCGGAAGGCTGTGCCACGGACTCAGGACATTCAGGCCACCTCCCAGGGACAAGGCTGTGTGGGAGGGGGCAGGCATGACCCCCCTGCCCTGCCCTGTCCTCTGGTCCTGCTCCTCCTCCCTCCTGATTGCCCGCAGTGCGGGATAAAGGGCCCTCAGCTGAACTCCCTCGTACTCAGTTTTAGCTTTGGCTCCACTGTGGGCCATCAGATGAACTGCTCACCCTCTCTGTGCCTCAGTGTTCTGACCTGTAAAATAGGATGCCAATCATACCATGCCATGAGTCAAAATCCTCCAGGATTTCTACTCTCTTCCATCCTTGCCCTGACAGGGCTGAGCTTGGGCTTAAGGAACCCAAACCCAAGGGTCGTGGGGGGTTTGAAAGAGCAGCAGGTATGAATCAGGTGCCCAAAGTCAGCTGCTAACACTACCTGGGACGCACTCTGTGGCTTCTGGAACTGTCCCTGGGAGGCAGGCAGGGGAGAGATTACTCTGACCGGTACAGAGGAAGCTGAGGCTCGGTCCAGGAGACCTCACAGCTGGTGACAGAGCCAGCGCCACCCCGGGGGTGGGGGGGCTTTCCTCACCGGCTGCACTGCTCGCACGGAAGGGCTCCTCTTCCGCCTCGCGGGCCAAGGGTCCCGCCCGTCGCCCGCTCCGCGACCACACTTGGATTCCGGAAAGCCCGAGGACCGGCTCACGTCGCTGGCCTGCGCCCCGCCGCGCCCCCTCCCGCAGCCGCCCGCGCCCGCCGGCGGTGCCAACGCGGCCCTTCGTTGTTCCCAAGGCGGCGGCTGGAAGTTCGAGCCCCTGCTGGGGGAGGAGCTGGACCTGCGGCGCATCACGTGGCGGCTGCCCCCGGAGCTCAT